GAAAGAGTGCTGGGATTTCAGTTGTTATTTGCTCAACTCCAGTATCTTCCCAGGCATTCTTCCAGAAAAGCACAATCCTGGAGTAGTTAAACCCAGAGATGATGCCACAAATGTCTCCCTGTCCAACACTGGAGATGAGGACATGTCCTCGTCAGCATACTAGCTATAAAACCCTGCTTCATCTCCCCAGACTGATGCTGCCTCAGCTTTATAGCTGCCCAAGGGATGGAAACCAAACAGCCCCTGGTGGAAAATAGAAGGAATCCTGCACAAATGAGGATATTCACCTTGTTTGCATTTTAGCTCGTTCATTTGGTGTGGGAAACTGTTCTTCTTCTTCCCCACACTTGGATAAAACCCTGGCTCACTGAAAAGGCAAACAAGCAATTCCCTTGTCATTGCAGTTTTTTGGAGCTCCAGGCTCCTTTCTCAGGACTTGGGGAGTGTTGGAAAGACAGCTGGAGGTGTCTCCATCCGCATTTTCACCCCCAGGTGTGGAAAGACCACATCACCTCCCAGGGAAACCAGGAGCCCCTGGTGCCAGTGGGGATGTAGCTCATGAGGATGGAGGTGTTTCTAGAGAGAGAGATGGTGTTGGAGCTGGACTCTTCTCCAAGGGGCACAGCAGGAACCCCAGGGGCACCAGCACAACCTGCAGCATGGGAAACCCCCCGTTACTGAAATCCAGGGTTTTCAGCACATTCATTAGCAACCTGGAAAAGAGAAATCTTGCTGATGATGCTCCATTTTGCAGCAGGAAAGCTGAGGGACAATGGGGAAGATCTGCTGATTTACTGAGTGCAAAGTGATTCCCAAAGGGCAAATAACCCAAAAGAGATGACAGGCTCTGGCTGATGGTGTAGTCTAGGATGACATCCCAATGTTTTGATGAGTTGTCCCATGAAAGCACCAGGCTATTGAAAGTGTTAAAAGGTGTGAGAGCACCCAGGTGAAACTGCCCTGCATGTTGTTTTTCCTATTATTTATGCCCTTCCCCAGGTTTTTGGCCAGAGTCCAAGACTGGGCTTCACAGATTTGTGCCAGCAGGGCCACCCCACAGGAAATCAGAGAGACCTTCCCTTGGGAAGAGGGATGCAATGAGCAGGACACCATGCATGAGTGGTTTCTGCTCCACATCCTGATTCAAGCTAAACATTGAATTATGGACCCCAGAGATGGAAGGATGGAAAAATCAAAACCACCCAACTTGTGTGAAAGTGTAAAAAAAACCCAACCAGGTTCCAGAAAACCTGTGTTCTTAGGTTCCTGAGTAAAGAACTCCAGGATATCTCACAGGCCAGTCACTCAGGGGCTGCCTCAAAACAGATTAGATTCCATGGATCTATACTGGATTTACAAGGCCATGGATGAAAAGAAAAAGCTGGGGTAGGGTTTTTTACATGGACAAGAGGCAATGGTTTGAAAGTTAAAGAGGGGAGATTTAGGTTGGACATTAGGAAAAAGTTCTTTCCCATGAGGGTGGCAAGATGCTGGAACAGGTTGCCCAGGGAGGCTGTGGCTGCCCCATCCCTGGCAGTGTTGAAGGGCAGGTTGGATGGGGCTTGGAGCAGCCTGGGCTGGTGGGAGGTGTCCCTGCCCATGGCAGGGGGTGGGACTGGATGGTCTTTAAGGTCTCTTCCAGCCCAGCCTGTGGTTAATTCCTTACAGGTGGTTCTGGAGGTTGTTACTGCTGCTGATTCTTGCTGCCGTGTCTGGTGGCATTTGATGTGTCCGACAGCAGGGGTGGCTTTTGGCAAATTCAGGGACTCCACAATAAGGATGAAGGGTTTGGGGCCTGGGGTTTTGGTGAGTGCTCATGGAGAACTTGACAGGCCAGAGTTGTGTGCTCATAGAAACCTTTAGGAATCAGAAAAATGCCACTACCAAGTCCTGGAGACACAATAACCCCAGTGCCAGCAGAGGCAGGGTGACTGGGGGACCTGGAGTCCCTGGGGGCGTGTGACCAGCTCTGTGCCAGTAAAGAGGCTGATTTTCACCCATGTTGACATTTCCAGCAGGTCAATGAAAAGGAACACATTGTTTGTGGCACCATATCTGAAACACTGACCAGGCTGGGGGCTCCCTTTGGAGAGAATTAAACTAGAGCAAGCCTGGGAAGGTCTGGTGGTGTTGGGTGGGGGCTGGGGCATGTGAGGAGAATCTGTGGGAGCTGAGCTAGCTCAGCTGAAGATGAGGAGGTGAAGGGGAACCCAAAAGCCTCTCCCCCTGCCGAAAGGGGTCCTAGAGCCACCAGGGCCAGACTGCTGGGAGGGGCACAGCGAGATCGCCAAAGTCACCAGCAGGAACCTGCAGTTGGATATTAGGAAAAGGTGTCCACATGAGGATCAGGGCCCTGAGCGATGAGGGAGTCTGTGTCTATAGAAATATTTAGGCTTGGTTTGGGCAAAGCCCCACACACTCTGCTCTAGTTTGACTCAGTTTTGGGTGGAGAGCTGGACCAGAGTTTGCAGAGGTCTGTTCCAGACTAAATAGTTCAATGATTTTGGTAAACCAAAGGTGTCTCCATATGCTTGATATTCTGCATCTGTGCAGGGTGTCACATTAAACTCCATGCTTACATGGAGCCTCAGTTACACTGTTACTTCTGTGGCCATCATTTTAATAAATCTGCAGAATTTGGTGCTTGCCCAAATGAAGTGGGCAGTAGAATATATAGTTGCCTATATCTGGAAAAACTGCTTTTGAGTAACTCCAGAAGCAGCAGCAGCATGGCCAGGCTGCTGAAGTGAGCAGCTTCAGCTCTCTGTAGCCTGTCAGTACACAAAGCAGCACTTGTTAAAATGACTGAGTCACTTTTGCACCACCAGTGTGATTTTGAGATTGAAAAATCCTACACAGGGTGGGGTTTGCACCAGTATAGTTAAATTGGGCACAGTTATCTCAGTTTTGCTTGTCTCCTCCTCCCCTTGTGCATATTTCTTTGTTCCAGCCAAATATTTTAGCCACCCCTGAAGGCTCATAGCCTCATAGTCAGGAAGTGTTTGTGAGGGTGTCTTTTCATTTGTAGCAGTAAAAGAATAACTCACCCCCTTTGTTTCTGGCTCCCACAGAGTTCGTGGCTTCAGGAGCATGAGTGAGTTCCGCATCCACCACGATGTCAACGAGCTGCTCAGCCTGCTGCGTGTCCACGGGGGGGAAGG